CCTATGAAGAAATTCTTAATATATTATAACAGTTATTTTCAAATAATTTAAAAATCTGCATTTTCATGGTGTCCTAGGTGCAGTAAAGACTTTCTGTAAATAATCAGTTAATCGTTCTTTCCTGTACTTACAAGTTCATGTAAAAGAACGAAGAGGAAATAACATTTGCTGAGAACATTTTCACAGCAAAATGTTTGCATGTATAAATACGTGCTGAGAGGAACATGATGTATATAAATACAATTAGATTCTTTTCCTGCAAGATCCAATTACTGGGGATTCATGTAGTATATAGTCAAATACTTAAATAATGTTTTGGAGAGCTGACTCACTATGCTTATGCCTGTAGTTTGCTGCTGGGTAGTTTGTCACGTATTTAATCTGTAACTAATTTTTTCAAGACTGCCATTGTGCGTCATGCACTATTGTCAGATAGGAAAATCTTTCCTCATATTTGGTCTCGTCCTCGTTTATAAGTGGTGGCCACATATATCAGCTGCCCCTCTGAACTTTCCCTGGTCATACATAGCTTGGCAGTATGTAGTCTTTTCCTCCTATTTGACCTTCTCCCCCCACTCCTCAGTCCCCTAAAAATTTTAAATACTCTTTTCTTGATTATCTCCTGAGCAATGAAATAATCAAAATTGTGGTTCTGGCCTATTGTCTTTTAATTTTCTTATTCTGCTGTAATATTATAGTGTCATTAGACTGTGATGACTTTGAGAATTTCTCTGGAGTATCTGGAAATGCTGAATTTCTGTCCAGTTTTAAGAGGAAGTTCCACTCGGATCTATTCTGTTACAGATTCTGGGTTTAGACAGGACTAATGAACAGACTGATCTAAGCCTTGTGTTCAGCGTGACTATCACCTTAGTGTCCCACTTGCAAATAGGATCAGGAAGTGTATTTCTTTTCTGCAAAATCATTTTGAAGATTGTGAAGCTGGAACAAAAATGCATGAGGCTCAGATGGATACCCAGAAATGCACTTTAATGCTCTCCTAGTGATGTTGCGGGGGGGGTGGGGGGAAGGGGTCAGAACACCCCAAAACCAACCTCTAGATCTGTAGGGCCAAGGAGGAGGGATATACTTCAGGATCTATAACCTCCACCCCATGTAGTCTGTACTTGCTTAGTTTGCCAGCAAAAAATTTGATAACTACGTTTATAGAACTGAGGTGGCTCATCTATATTCATTTTAGATCTATCTATAGGGCATAGCAACATAGTTGGAAGTTGTTCAGCAGAAAGCTGCTGGCGATGTAGGATAGAGAAAAGTATGCCTGGTGACTCTCCCATAAAGAGATTTCTTTTAATTACTGTATTGGAACAATAAAACGAGGTTTTGACTTTATATCCTCAAAATGTATTCTCATTACTAAATCCAGTGAGACTGAATGAATTTTGGGTTGTTGGTCCATCCATTAGAAGCTGACATTTCAAAAAGGCATAACGTGGTATCATAAAATACACGAAAGCTTGTATTTGTTTCTCATATCTTATAAACACTAAGCAAAATTTCACCACTTTATTCCTTTCCCAAGGCTTTCAGTAGCAGTTATCTTCTTTATTTTTCCCATGCCTTTTTCTCTCTCCTCTCATGCAAGACCTGGATCTTGTGATTTTTTTTTTTTTTGGTGTAGATAGTTAACATTTTATGTGTATAAAATAAAAGCAAAAAAAAAAAAAACTTATCTAAAAATCCCATACCTGAGATCAAAGTTAAGTGCATGTCCACCTAATATATTTTGAATTTCTTAGAATTCAGGTTATAAAAACATTCTACGTGGTAGTTTAGATTACCAGCTTTTAAGAGCATGGTACTGTCTATTTATAAATATTATCTAGAAGATTTTAAGTGCTAACAGAATACAGGCATTGTTAAATAGTAGGTTGTAGGATGGAAATGCCAGTGAATGCCAATTTTCTGTTGCATTTTTTTTTTCATGAGCTCTTTGTTTTCATTTCTGATATCTCTGCATTTCATCTGAGACTTGACCATGTCAAAGTTTACCAGAAGACACTTACTGAAAGGACTGGTATTCTGGGAGTTGTTTCAGTCTTCCTCTTTCCTCCCTGCCCTCCTTCACAGTTGCCTCTCAAAAATTCCCTTTTCTTTTTAGCAGGTATTCAAGGACATCTGTCAGTTGTATTTTTTTTTTTTTTTTTACCTGATCTTTTGGAAAAGCTGTGGAAAACGCTGACTGCAGCAATAAAGACTTTCTTTTTGGCACAGCCTGCTCAGCTTCTTTGCCTCTTTTGACCCTGTCCTTAAACTGGGAAACTTATAACTATGGACACGAATGGTTTGTTTTATTGCACAGTGAACCATCCTTCCAGTAAGTGGGTGAAAAGCAGTCAGCGAAGCAAAGCAAGTGAGAACATAGGGAGAGATCCACCTTGAGTGTCACGATTATGCAAGCTGGGAATTGTGTTCAGACATGAGGTATGTGATGGTAAAGCTGCCTTTTGAACTCTGACTTATTATAAAGATACACTTATATCTTGTGATACAGAAAAAAGAAATGCATATGTATGCTTGCATTTAATACCATTTTATGCATGCATCTATACCTATGAAGATGTGTGCACACACACAAATATTAAATAGTTAATGCTGCATTTTCCACAAACTGTCTACAGTATTCTAATGCAGCAGAGGTTCTTTTTTTTTCCCCTCTCTGTCTGGCTACATCTTCCATTCCCTTAAATAGGGTCACCAGTGGAACCATTCGTAATGCTTAATAACACACTCTACCAGTGATGCACTCTTCAGAATACTGAAATTGATTTTTCTTCTCTAAAAGTATGACCTGCCAGTGTAGCCTTTGTCCTAACGCCTAATAATACGTGATGTTCCTGACAGCACAGGATGTGAGCGCAGATGTTCTGGAAGCATCAGAAAAAAGCCACCTCAGTGCAATGCCTAATGCTGCCGAAGGCATTTCATTTGCTGCAGATCAATGTCTGCTTTGAAGAAGAATAATTAAGGTGGTTTTGTTCCTTTTGAAATGGATTCTCAAAATTAGGTTTGTATCATCCAAAGCTTAATAAGGGGCCAGATAGATATGCATGAGGTATGAGCATCTTGTTAAACGCAGGGATGCTTAACACTTTTGAAATTCAGAGTATTAAGGTAAGAATCTAACTTTAGGCAGCCACTTTAATGGCAATGGTTAATATGGTTAAAGCTGTGAAAAATACCACAGTGGATCTGAGCAGCTACATGTCTGTTCTAGAGCACCGTTGCTGTAGTGCTTATCCTGAGATAACTTTTAAGAAAAATGCTATTCTGCTCACTGCTCTGTTATACCTGCAACATAGGAAATTACACTGTTCGTTCTGCATCACACACAGCTTCTGTCTGAAATTGTCATCCTACCAACACGACAGAAACATTTCCATGGACTTTATTTAATCCTTCAAGGTTGGATGGACAGATTGTTTATTTGTTGTTAGTTGTTGTTAGGTTTACTGTAAGTAAATCAGAATTTACAGGGTTGGTGCAAAAATTGCCAGAATAAGGGTCTGTGCGATGCAGATGAGTCAGTAATTCCTTGTGGTCTCAAAGTGTGTGAATTCAGTACTTCTGCAGTGTCGGACTGCATTTCGTTATGTAGTTGCACAGCCAGTGCCGTTCCTCTTCCTGAGGGTGGGAACCACTCTCTTTTCCACTTATGCTTCGTATCGCAGTGGCAGTGACAGCAAATACGGCAAAGCGCAGTTAAGCATGCTAAACGTATAATCCAGTTGTCTTTTAATGCAAGTTGACAGCTGCTGGCAAAGCGGGTTGAAATGGTATTCTTGGAGACTTCTGCTACAGATCACAGTCTGAAAAAATCCCAATCCCTACAGCTCCTTCTTACAGGATTTATTCAGCTCTGTTTGGTGTGAGGAGCACCATATTCCTCTAGTGAAGTAGCACGTTGTAGCGCTTGCTAATTCTCCGCAATGTTGCTTGCTTATTAACAGAAATTTCAGAACAGCAACAGTGTACAGGCTTATGTTATTTACTATGTCTGTACATTATAATATTACCATTTTTATTGGTGCAAAAGTACATTTTTATATAGCTAATTTAACAATACATACCAGCACTAAGTCTCAACTAAGAGCTGAAGTGCATTTGCAATCTGAATTTTTAACTTGCTGTCCTGAAGAAAACAATGAAGTTGGCTTGTGATAAGAACACACCTCATCCCGTATTTTCGTTTTTCTCTCTTCAGAGGCCATTTACAGCCTTAAGGAGGTAGATAGTTTCTTTCTGGCTGTCACCAGCAGCCGGAGAATGGCAGCATGGCTGAGGCTGGCAGGCGCCTCTGGGCACTGCCCAGTCCCACACCCCTGCTCACAGCAGGGTGCCCAGGACCGTGCCCGGTCGGGATTTGAGCATCTCAGAGGATGGAGGTTCCAGGAAATACGTGTTATCTTCTTTATAGTTTCACTCTGATGTTTTAACTGTATAGCAATTTACTGACTCAGGAGGCATATTTAGGCTTGTTAACATGCTGCTCTTCGTGTTCTGTACACTGCTAGATCTACTTGTGAATTTTCCAGGTTTCTGAAACTGTGAAGCATCATTTCGTAATAGGAGTGTTGCTTATTAGGTGATATGGTGTAATCTGGGACTCAGGTTTATCTGTTTCCGAACCACTTCCATGTCTTTATGAAAGCTGCATCTGTTTTCTTTGTTGGTCCTCTCCAGTCAATTCCCTTTCTGTGTATTTTTTTGTGTTTCTGGTGCATGGATGGATGTGCTTTGGGGGTGAGGAGGGCAAGAGTGACATCCTGATCACCTCTTGGAGATTCTCTAGTGCAGTATGTGGGAAGTAAGATGTTTGCCTTGGAAGCTAGTTTAGTCTTGTTTAAGTCTAGAAATATTATTGAATGTGAAGCTCTGATCTCCGATTCTTAGAAAAGATGCTTTTTGTAACTGAGCAATTCTCTTTTCAATAACTTCTTGACACAAAGACAAGTAAGGCTTTCGCTGTTGCCTGACAGGGATTGATGGCCCAGCTGCTTTTCAAGATGATGTTCAGAAGATAGGAAGTCAAGTGCAGATTCTCACTGTTGGACAGTCTAGTCATGATGAAGATGATGGAGAGAAAATGGCTAGTGGCCAACAACAGCAAAGCAAACAAGATCTTAGAACAGCAATGCAGAAAAAAGGTAAGTAGCCAAAGCTGCCCTCGTGTTCTTATTGCTTGCTTTCTGTACATTGACTTCTTTTCCTATTCTCACTCTCAGCCCTAGCCTAAGGAGACATTGTAATTCTGTAGTTGTGTTCCTCAGAGCCTGTTACGCTCTATTCTATTATCTAAAATAAAAATAAAAATTAAGTTCTCTCTTGTCCCAAGGAAAAAGAGCTCTCCAGGCTCTCAGGGATGTGGCTTTCCTATCTGCAGTGCAGTGCTGCTATTAAGGTACCAGGCAGATGCTAATGCTCATACCCATCTGTTCACCTTTTTGTGTTGTATAACGCTGGAAATCACTTACTTGAAGATTAAAAAAAAAAGTACAGAATAGCAACATTCAAACTAAACTACAATATTGGATTTAGTTGTGGTGTCAGTTAAATATTGTTCTTGTTTTCATAATGTGTGTTTGTGCTTGCAGAGGTGAAAATTACAGCACTGTGTATTCTGCAGCATTTCCCATGCATAGTCCTCAAATGTTCTGGAATGTTTTGTTTGTTGGTTTGTTGTTTTTTTTTATAGAGGCATGCATGATTTGGGAGATAGATTGTGTATGTACACATTCATGCATCCGTCTCTTCCTTCCTGCACTGTTATTGTCTCTCCTTGGACATTTACTGTAGGAAGGAAAGAAAATCCAAAAATCCTCACAAAGCTATTTCTGAAAGCATTTGCTTTGGAGTTGTTGTTCTTCAGTGTACAGCTTTTGAAGCAAAGATGGCTCAAGCCAAGAGTGTTCTGATGCTTTAAGAATAAATTCTTTGTGTATAAAGAGCAAAATGTAAGTGCAAACTTGACTCATCTAGAATAGACTATTCATATCTAAATGCCCACCTCTTGTCTGCAGAGCAGTTCTCACTAACGTTCATTTTTTTCTGGGACGTTACTCCGCAGATGTGAGCAACTTCAGCTGAAATGGGCAGATTTTCTCCGAGTGTGGTATTTCCTGGGTATCTGAGTCGGAGGGATGTTGGCATGGCTAACGAGTTCTGATCTGTGTGGTGATTGTGTTGCCTTAGACCATGGCTCAGAATATTTAATCATTAGGCACACTACTTGCTAAAGCTGATTGACTGAGAAAGTATCAACTGACTTCTCAAATTAGGTCAGAGCACTCAGATTTTTACTCTGGGGAACATTTCTATTTTTGAGATTTTTTTCCAGGTTAAGATATATTTTTATTCTTCCCCTTTTTTTTTGTTTGTTTATTTTTTAAAAGAAGAGGTGGGGTTTGTTTAGGTTTGCTTTTGTTTTGCTTTGCTTTGTTGCTTTATGTTCTTAAACATACAAGATGACCTTTTTTTACCGGGTCTAAGTATACCCCTGATCATAATAGCCACTGCTAAGAGTGGACCACTACTATGCTTCAAGACGGGGGGACGACGAGGGGGACAACATGGGAATGCTGAGGTTTACTCATTTTTATTAACAACAGAGCTATGCTCTGTGAGAAACAAAGAAAGGTATTAAGGCAAGGCTGCAACTAGCAGCATCTCCATAAAATATTTTTACTATGTCTGTATGGTTTGCCACTTGATACCAGCAGAGGAGGTTTATTAGAAAGTTTTGAGTATCCCGTTATTCATGGGAAACTTTACGCAGAATTAGGGCTTTTCACGTGGATTCCCACTGCCGCTTCACTGCTTGTGGCACGTCCTTACTGACACGTCCCCATTGGTCTGAAAAGCACTTAGAATTGCTGTCTCCTGTCAGTCCTTCTCTTGCATGGGATAGGAGCAAAAGGAGAAGAACACAGAGATAAATGCTAACTGGCCTAATGGGAAGGGCTGAGTCCTGTCAGATTTGTGTAGCCTGATTTGTGCCCGTTCTGCTCTTTGACGCTAACTTCATGGAGAGAAGCCTCTCTCAGCACATCTCTGCTTCCTCAGCGAGGCAAGTTCTGTTACAAGACTAGTGTGAAGACCTGAGTGTGAAAAGAATATGCCACCTGCAAGAAAATGCCAAATGTTTTATTTAATTTCTCCATCTGATAGAAATTGCTGTACTAGAATCATTTTCTTCCTGTAGGAAATATTTACCCTTTTGATTTCAGAAGCCTTAATATGTAGAGTTCCTCTCTGGCAAATGAGTCACTAGAACAGAGCCAGACTTCCATAAGTTTTAACACTGAATAGCTAACGTTCATTCTTCACATTTATCAGTTTCCTATATGTCTCTGTAACAATTTGGAATGAGCAATTTGGTCTTAGTTCTTCTTTGCCACGTGAAGTTGCAACTTTTTTTGAGATTTAGGGATGGAATAGATTTGATCTCTGGATTCAAAAACAAAACTGGGGCTTTCTGAAGCATTCTTCCCCACAGGTCATGAGTGCAGACTTTTCTAAGGCCAAAATATTGGTGGTGAAATAGTGAGTGCGGATGTAGAAATAAACTGATTACGTCTGTGCATATGAAGTATGGCATTATTGCACAGCTGCCAGCTGAGGAGATGGACTGTCTCTGTTACCCATGCATCGTTGACTAGAACATGGTTGTCATTATTATGAAATAATGCTTGTGATTAATGAGTGTGTGATTAATAATGAGTGAGTTCTACAGGCTTTGAAAATATCTGTTGACCTGTGAACTCGGGCCTCCCTTGCATAACCAGATCCTATTGAAACATTTTGCTGTCGTGCTGTGTGGTGTATGTCCAGTCTGAGGGAACCGAAGAAGTGGATAATGAGACCATTTATGGTGCAGCTGAACGGAGTACAAGCATTGCATTGCATCGCATGTGCTTCTGTTTTACTGTTATACACTCGCTTTTACTACTCTGATGTTGTTTCGCTATCCGGTGTGCATCTGGTGTCAGAAGGGATATGCGTTGAAGTTATTGGAAGCAGCAATAACATAAAAAGTATTTAAATGCCTTTTTTTGGTGTCTCTTTTTTTCTCGTTCCATTCCAAAATTTGAACTGAAGAAAAACATTACTGATACTGTCTCTGATGTTTATATTTCTGTACATGGGTTTGGTTCAGTCTTTGGTCTGCTTGTTGCAGACCAAGCTCATAATCCAAAAGACTAAGCTACATGAAAGTCTCTATGTGTAGCCCTGGAACTCCATGAAGAACAGTTTAGAGAGCCTGACGTAGGTGATGAGGGCACACTGGGCACAGGGATTTAGGTAGAATTAATTTAGGCCATCTAAATATGCGTCATATATACCTTTTTCAATGTTACTGAATGAATATTTGTTCAGAATATGTGTATATCACTTGTGTTGATCAGTGGCTTGGGTTTTTTTTTTTTTTGTGTTAGAATTCAAAAGTAGGCCAAAACCCTACCATGTAGGGCACAGCGTGCACAAACGGCTTTGTGGCACAACCATTCAGCATGGATGGTGTTTTCTGAAGCTTCAGCCCTGTGATCCGCAGCTTTTCAACTTTATTCAAAGTACTAAAAAAAGAAGGTGACAGCAGGTATAAGCAGGTAGAAGGTGAATTTGATTGTGCAGAAAGATAAAATGTCCATTATTGAGAATTCAGGCAGCAGCATTATGGCCCCATCCAGTAAGCCTTTAGCCCTGTGCGGAGTCCTGTTGGCAAGTTAGGGTTGTGCACTCAACTAAGGGTTTGCAGAATCAAGCCCATGGATTTTTTCCTTTCCCAGATCCCCATGCAAATACATCCTGGTCCTCTTCCACCTCCCAATCCAGTCTTGTCGCCCTGGATCATGTTCCTGGTAAGTACAGAAGGAAAAAGTTAAATTATGCCCATGCTGCTTGGCTCTGGAAATCTTTGCATTTCATTTATCCTTCTGCATTGAACTTACCAATAGTGGAAATTCTGGACCAAGGGATTTTTTTTTTTTTTTTAACGAAAAAATATTGTGTAATTTGCCTCTAATATTGGGTACTTAGAGTTTGAACCTGAATACAGGGTGGCTTCATCTGCATGATGCTCCTTGAAAAACTAGGCTTGCAAATGTCCCACCATTGATGCTTTCTGCTGCTAAGTCCCATTTGATGTTCAAAGTTTTGTTTCCCTTTGAAATGTCTGAGGTTTTGAATTCTTATAAAGTCAAATTTTTAAGTGCTGAAAGGCAATTCCTTTGGCCTGGGCTGATACTGTTTTTTACATGAAATAAATATGCATGAGAATATTTCCTTGATGTGAGTGTTTCTTCTCAGTCTAAGATCTGCTCTTCAGCGGATCACATAGGAACAGTTAAAAGCGTGCTACAGAAGGGCTCGTATTTTAATTGTTAAGGTTTCCAAATGGCTGCGATAGGTTGTCCACTCGGCTCCAAGTTCAGGTTTAAGGTTTTGTGTTGTGTTTGAAGTACTTGACTGGATGAAGAGGAGGTGAATTTAATTCCCCACTGTATCCCTGGGTAATTCGATCCTCACTGTGGACTTGGAAACCATGGTATTTCCTTTCTGGTTTGCTGAAATGTTTTCGCTTCTCAGGGCAGGTGCTGTCTCACCCACGTGTGTGTGCAGTGCCTCCCACCGTGAACCCCCCTCACACACACCCTCTCTCACCTGTGAGCCTAAGGGCGCAACACTATAAGAAGTGGTGTTTTGCAGCAAGTATGGACAGCTTTAATGTATTACTATTTCATACAAGCGCACTGCTTTCTCCTCAGGCATTTCAAGCAGCATGAATTTTGATGAGGAAGAAGATGAGGAAGATGAAGACAGCTCCAGTTCTTCACAGTTAAACAGTAACACCCGGCCTGGTTCTGCCACGAGCAAGAAATCCAATAAGGTACGGGGGGTGAGTGCCGAAGAAGGAGCGTGCAGGCTGCTATATGTGCTGTGTGATTTCAGAGTGCAGTCAGGATAGGCCTGGCAGCTTTCTTGTTCTGTTTTTAATATGCACTAGAGTATCTCTGAGGTCATTTATCATGATACCTCTCAGGGTTCTCAGGAGCAAGACTTGGAGAAGAGAATAGCAAATATTGTCTGAACTTGAAGGAAGAGAAAGGTAAACAGCAAATATTTACCTTTCTACCTCCTGCAGGTGCTCAGAAGGATCTTTTCTTTCTATTGCCTTTTTCTGAACATTTTCCCACCCTGTTCTCACCACTACCATGCGAACATAAAATAACTTCGACCTGTTCAGATAGTCTAAATCACAAGATCTTGCTAAACCAGTTGATGGTGCCCCACTCTTTTATATATCCCACTGACTTCTCATCTCTGTTATGTCTCTAGCTTAATCTCTCTCTCCCTATGCCACTTCTTCCTTTCGTCAAAGGCCATCATTGTCCTTGGGTATGGCCTTTCTGACAAGAGAAGTGTGGTGAGATGGGAAGGTGTGAGCCAGGGTTTGCTTTGTAACGTTACAGTACTCTGCCTCTGCAGCCACAACTGCGTTCTGCTTTGCCAGATGTGTCTGTGCACTGAGCATCGGCAGCGCAGAGAGCTGCTCCCTGGGCCTTTGGTAGCCAAGAGCTTGACCGATTGGATGGGGAGAGATCCTTAGCTTGTTAAATTGCCTTCAAAGCTTCTGAGGAATCCGAATGGGGGAAAACAACAAGTTATTTTTTTAAAGTGTGTCTTCTACCAAATGTCGTTCCTTTGTGCTTTTAACCTTGTAAATCAAAGTTGAAGAAACCTGAGTTTTGCTTACTGTTTTAGGAAGCGGCCTCAGCCCCCAGTCCTTCCACAAATGAGCCTGTGATAGATGTCGATGACCTGGAGGAATTTGCTGCAAGACCTGCTCCACAGGGTGTCACTGTCAAATGCAGAATCACAAGAGACAAGAAGGGAATGGACCGAGGGATGTACCCTACTTATTACCTCCACTTGGAAAGGGAGCATGGTAAAAAGGTCATAAAATAACTTGAATGGCATACCAGTTGCTTCTGAATATAAAAAAAAAATTATTAAAAGTCTGAAGAAGTCTAACAACGAAAATATGATCTTAGATTTTAAATATATTTTCACATTCACTGTGATCTGCCCTACAGTCTTCCAAAAGCGGAACAATTGTATCACTTTGTTCTACTGCCTTTCTTCATATGTGTAATCTTTGGCCTTAAATAATCCATGCGTGGCACCTTTATGTGACAGTCAGCAGTTGGGGCTCTCTGCATTCTGTGGCCTGAAAAGCATCTATTTTCAATTCAACTGGAAGAGCCAGAGCAACTTAGAATGAAACATTTAACAAAATAGAACAAATTTAATTATTTAAACCATAAATAATGGACTGAGTGGTTGAGAAGTCACTTTCCCTTTCCAGATTTTTATCTGGTTTTGCTGAGTCCCAGGAGACCTTCTGTTACTTTGCTAATGATGCTGGAAGACAGAAAAATTGCTCATGGTTTCCTTATATCAAAGCAGGAAGTGATGTGTGCTAACCCCTTTGGCATTCTAGAATATGTTTTTTTGCACTGCTTAGGTGTTTCTGTTAGCTGGAAGGAAACGAAAGAAGAGTAAAACCTCTAATTACCTCATCTCCATAGACCCAACTGACCTGTCTCGGGGTGGAGAGAGTTTTATTGGAAAATTGAGGTAAACACCGATACATCTAAGAATTTTCATTATATAACGTAAAGTTCGTTTGAAATTAAGAAGCCTGTAAGCCACCATGATTTCTTAATTAGAGGCTTGACTACATCATGTGATAACGGTCTTAAAGTTCACCAGTATCCAAGGCATGTTTTCAAAACATCTCCAGTACTTACAAGGTAACATTTTATTAAAAGTCAGCAGGACTGAAGCTCTTAAACGCGCAAAGGCCAGCTTCTCCGGGGTGTATGGGCACAACTTACCTTAATGGGATTTTCAGGAGTGCGCAAGTAGATTGTGCCTGGCCCCTATTGATATAAATACCTTGGAATGGAAGTTCTGTCTGTTAGACAATCTCAAAATTTCTTTAGCTTTGCCCATTTCTTAAGATTCTAATTGGAGTTATTTACAAGTAGCGGAATTCTTTAAGAACCATTTCTTTCTTTTCTGTCTGTCACCCCATCATACATCAGTCTGTTGTTGGTACCTACATGGAGCCTCTCAATGTACATTTAGATCATCTGTACCTGAGGAAAGGGATTGTGCTTCTAGTTCCCATTTGCCTGTGTGGACCTCGGAACTTCATGCGCTATTTATTGCAGTGCAAACACAGAATAAGGACAATGTGGTTTTAGTATGTTCTAAGTTGTATTTTGTGCTCCTTGGTGTGATTTCCATTTAAATAGGAAAGACTGATCTTATTTATAACTTTATGAAAATCAGTCTCAGTATTCTAATAGTTAGTAGTCAGGTAAGAAAGCAGATAGTTTTGTAGAGAGTAAACATATTTTAAAAACCAAGAAAACAAACAAAATAACCCCACTCGAGTGTTTCCTTATTGCTTTCCTGAATTTACTAGTTTGCAAGATGTCATGAGAAGTCTTCAGTGTAATAATAAGGGACCTTTCGTATACTCTGCTGTCCTGTACCTTTATATTTTTGTTACGGCCTTTAATCCAGGAGTTACCATTTAGTTGGGATTTGAATTAACAGCTGTTTGTACTCGATATTACTGTCTTTCCTTTGGGGCTACAATGCGGTAAAGGATAGATGTCTTGGGCAGCGTTACTGACAAATGGTGATTGGGTTTTCCTTCTTTTTTTTCTTTTTTGATAGATCAAATCTTATGGGAACTAAGTTTACAGTTTATGACAATGGAGTAAATCCAATGAAAACAACATCAAGCCTGGAGGCGAGTACCCTGCGTCAGGAGCTAGCTGCTATTTGTTACGTAAGTACTGCTCACAGGCAAAATGTGCAAGAAAGGGCAGTTCGGTTTCTGAAATAGCACACAATTTCCTTCTCCCTTACGATTATGTAAATCAGCATGCATACTTCAATGTAATCAAACAGTTGATCTTCCCTAGAGAAACCAGGGAATTCAGTACAAAGTAGAGGTAAAAAATGATGTGCACGGAACCAGGTTGCCCAGTTCTCGCTTTTGGTCAGAGGGTGTCGGAGCTTTTACGTAACCCTCTGGGAGGGGTAGGATGCTTCCCAGCCCGCAGGCACTGTCTGAGGGAGCCTCCTGAACTGGAAGGAGTTGTGCACATGGAATTACTGCAGTAAAGTACGGTCATGTGTAATGGCATTTTGGAGGAGGCCTCTCTGATCCAAAACACAGGTAGCTGGACAGCTAAGTCAGCTGGACAACTAGGTCTGCAGTAGGGGCTGAGAGACTGGGATGAAAACTCTGAAACTCCTTTTTACCAGGAAAAAAACCCAAACAAACCCCAAAATTCAATTGAATGAGAAAAAACAGCCTCTTATAGGACAGTAAATGGCATGTCAGGAGCAATGCAGACAATCAAGGCTTGAAACACAGTTGTTGTTTCGTGATTACTGGATGACTATTTTGGTGAGAGTATTCTTTCTGTCCTGAAATCTCTGCGCCCAAGAAACTCTTCCAGTCAAAACTGGTACATAAACTGCTACAGAAATTTTTGTGTTGTCGCAAATCATCAACTTCTGACAAAAATAGCCAAGAACCACTTTTCTGAAAAGTTCTTGCCGGGCTGTAATGAAGGATGCCCAGAGCTCTGTCAGATCAAGGTCTGGCCGCCCCAGCAAACACCCTGCATACGCATGGAATGCAGTCTTGGAAAGATTGGCTTCAGGTTGTGGGGAGCGACGTGTCTGAAAGATTTTGGCACGTGAAAAGGAAAGCAGAGAGCTGTTCCTTCCGTGCGAAGTGCTGAGAGCACTGAAGGGTGGTAGTATGAGCTGTTAATGTGTTCTTTCCCTGATGCTTAGGATGCAGTTTTTCTGTGAATATAGTATAAGTAAGGTGTTTGTTCACATGGGATATTATTCAGGCATGTGGCCTACGGCTGCAGACAGACACACATACATATCCCTCCATTCCTTTGGATCTGAAACTCTGAGAATTTCAGGAATCCAGCAAACAGGATTTAAGAAGAGAGCCCAGGATCTGATGTCAGTTTAGCGTTTGACTAAAGTTTCAGTAGGAACCTAGGAGAACTTACAAGTTTAATAAGAGTAATTTTACTGGTTTATATAGGAGGGCATTCCCTGGAGCCAAGCAACTAGTCTTCTGGTGGAAAGTGGAAATACGGGGAGAAAACAAAAAAAAAGTTTAAAAAAAAAAGCTGTATATTGAAAAATGTAAGCGTTGCTTGTAGAAGTCAACGGCAATGGCATCTGAACCATTAACGTTACAAAATAAAAAACTCAGTTGCAGTTAGCAGAGGTAATTAAAAGTGTGAGTGTTAGAAAGAACAGAACCGTGACCACTGTTTGGAGAATGTGGCTAAGATAAGCTGCTTATATTTGTCTATTTTGAGATCAGCAGTTTAAAACTTGTACGTTTGTATAAGAAAATTACTTGTTCCTTTGATATGTTGATACTCGTGGAGAAAGGCAGCAGGCTTGCAGGTGTGCTATGGCCAGAGGACAAAAGGAAATCAGAATGATAGTTCATTACTACTTAGGTTTGCTAAAGTGAGATGATTGTTCCTGCAGCAGAGCCACGGCAAAGAGTGCCAGAAGTGAGCACTCCCCAAACGCCCTTGTCCTGAGGTAACCTCTTAATTCCTGCCTTGAGATTTCTCCTGCAGCAAAAACTATAACAAAGAATACTTTGGAAGCACCACTATGCCTCTCGCTGTCTCTCAGCTCACCCGATTGAGTACCCAGCTGGAGAGCAAGCTGTACCCGCTTCCACCAGCTTACTGAGCCCGACTTGCTGAATCATCTCAGGTCTGGTTGGTAAAGGCAGAAGCTGGTGATGCAGCTATTGTTAACTGTGGGATAAACGTGTCGAGAACTCTCATTGTGGAGCTCACCTTAGGGCACGTCTCAAGCAACAGGAATAAAGTTACGGCGAGGACCGAGTGTTACCAGGTGCCGTTAACCATTTTTCCCCTTCCTGCTGCTGAGGGGCTGGTGTATTCATAAACCTGCAGCAGCACCTAATGGCCGATTCCAGAATCGCTTGGCAAAATGTATGGAGAAGCAGGGAGGTGCAACTGTACCATCTGTACCAGGATTTTCTGTGCTGGATTCCTTTGTATCCGTAGTGGCTCACAATTCGGTTTGCGGCAGATTCTGCGGGCGGGGAGCTGCGCGGATATTCTGATGTGTGACTCGGGTTTCAGTAAAGCGATAAAACCGCGTCTTTCTCTCGGGCCACTTGCGTTGTGCCCCCCTGTAGTGGGTTCTGTCATCTGGGATTTCTGTGGAGTGGTAGTTTCTACAGAAATATATTAAGGACAAGACACAGCTGTGTGAATCAAGTCCAGAAGGGGAAGCGGCTGAAAGAAAATTGGGGTAATTAAATCGTGAATCTCCCGGGAGGTGTTGGGATATGCGCCTTGCTGCTTTTAGCATGGCAGCTATTGCCACCGTAGCGAAATGCCTACAGAATTTTACGAAAGTGTGTAAGATTTTAAAAACAGCTCTGGGGAGAGGCTGTGTCTTCTTTCAGTCCAGTTTGTTGTGACGCACGCTCACGGGAACGTCTTACTGGTTGGGGTAAGGCAGAGGGTGCAGCTTCTGAGCAATGCTGGGCCATGTCCTCAGCTGATTTAAATCGTTGGTGTGCTGGTTGAATCAAGGGGACTCTGCCAGCTAACAGCCCTTGTTTTGAGTTCCTATGTGAACCGAGACTGTCAGTGGCATTAAAATGGTGTGAAATCAGAATTTGGCCCCCTAATAATGCCATTGGTAGTCTTGATGCACACACAAAACAGTGGAGGAGGCAAATAAAAGAGAAACAGGGAATGAGACAGGAGATTCGGGGAATTAATTTTATTTGGAAGCAGGTAGATTCAGGTAGACTGGAAAGGTCTGCTCTTAATTAAAGCTCCTCGTTTAGATGTGGTGTTGGGGGATATGGTGTAGGGGAGAACTTTGTAGAGTAGGGTAGATGGTTGGACTCGATGATCCCAAGGTTCTCTTCCAATCTAGACAATTCCATGATTCTACTCTTTTCCTCATATTTCCAAGTTTGTAGAATCCCAATGCTGTACCTTGATTTTAACAAATGGATAGCATTTGCTGGTAAAACCTTTGATAGAATTGGTGATTGATGTAACGTGCAACTAGAAACCATCCCCTTATCATCTGGCAGAAGTATTGGTTTTAGAGCTTCTGAGTAAATCCAGAGACTATAGTCCTGTTTTTTCAGTGACAATACTGCTTGTTGGGAGGGAAATGATTCAGCGCTGTTATTTAATTTTACCTTGAACAATGTCTTCAACCAGTCAGCATCTAAATTAATTCTATATAGCATAACTGCAGCTTGATGAGAAGAAAAGCTTGTAAGGCATTTCAGAGAAGATCAAAATTGTCGGTAGTTTGTGGAAAATAAGCATAAGCATGAATCTTTTCTTAGAAATTGTCCTCTGCTGTGCTGAGTCTCTTCTGCTTATAAAATCTGCTGGCAGTCATTTTAGTTTGAGTCTCGCTGTGATGCAGAACCAAGTATTTGCTTCCAGCTGAACTGATAACATTGGTTTACTCTGCCAAAGGCTATGACATAAGTGATTTAAAAAAGAGGTAGAATCTTCCCATTAATGTATATAGTTTTGAAGATATATGAATATACCTGGATTGCTTCAAGAGCATTCAGTAAAATTACTCACTGGAATTTTTCTTGCATGCATGAAAATCTTTAATGAGTTGTGTAAAATCTCCAGATGGTTTGCTGAAACAACCAAAGTTATTTCAAAGGTCTGATGGATGACAAAACTTCTGCACGAGTAAATTTTAGGCCGTTATTTTCAGATGTTTCCATTGAGTTGACACCGGTGAATTTTTGCGTGTAAAAGTAGAGATGTTTTTGAAAGTTTAATGTTCCTTAAAATCAGGACACTTCTATTAAATACATAAAAGCAGAGACATCCTAATATGTCACTTCTGAATGTCCCAATGGCAGAGCCACGCCAGCTGGAGCCTGGGGGTGTCCAGTTCTTGCCACCTTCTGGTATGTTGCTGAGAATAGTGTCAATGGAAATTTCCTTTCTGAGATTCCTTAGTGTGTGTCCACAGCCCTTCACTGGGGAAAGGTGGAGGGGAAAAAATGCAGGTGACCAAAAAAAAAAAAACCCAACCAACAACCCCCCCACTCCCCTCCAAAAGTAGCACAAAACACAAGGAGATGGACTTTCAGAGGTGTCACTGTTTCATTTACTGCAGTTAACGCTAAGATAGGCAATCAGGTTTTACTGAGTGGGTTGGAAAATATTGCCCTTTACTTTTCCTTTTTCAAAAGTAGATGACAACTGACTGAAATGTTTGGCCCCAGTTTCTTCTGAGGAAAAGAGAAAGCCTCAGATAAAACTAAGACTTTTGGCCTATTTAGATTTTAGTGGTTGTGTTTTGAGAGGATAGTGCAATCCTGGAACGCCTTTGTGAAAAGCTGGTCAGAAAGGCATCAAATCAAGTTTAATGGAAGAACTTGGATTTTCCACAGACTTGGTTTTGCTGCCCGTCTTATTTTTTACTTTGCCTGCCTTCATAGCTCAAAAATTTGCATTCATGTTAATGTGTTTGGTTTTCACCACGCTCATCTCTAAGCAGAATGTATCTGAAGACTTTGAAAACCACAGCACTGCTAACAGATGCTTTTACTGGCAGCTTCTTCTTGTTTGCTTTTGTCCTGGCTCTGGAATAAATGGAATTGGTCCCATACATTTAATTTTGTCTCTCATCAAAATGTGTGACTGCATTTTATGATTTTTAAATTACAACTACTTTATTTTGGGATCTAGCAGTAGCCAAGCAATCTGGTTAGTTCATATCCTTTTTCAACAAAGGGATTTTTTTTTTTCCTTTTTAAATTGTATTAAGGTTGCTGGTAGCCAATGCTAGCAGTGTTTTTGGAAACATCTCTATTTCCATTTTTCCTGTTGTCAGAGCTTCTAAGACAAAGCTAGAATGTCTGGCAGTGCCAGTGAATGGTAGGAGTTTCAAGATGTTTTTTGAGTTGGCTAACAGATAACTTCCCTGGGCTGCCACTGTGTCCCTCTGTTGAAGAAATTAACTTTTAATACAAAACACAATGAACTCTTCTCTGAACATTTTTAGGAAACAAATGTCTTGGGGTTTAAAGGACCTCGTAAAATGAGTGTGATCATACCAGGAATGAATATGGACCACGAAAGAGTTTCCATCAGACCACGAAATGTAAGTTATACCATCTTTAAACGATAAAAATTACTTGAATTATTTTTCAGTTAGAGTTGTTTTTTGTGCTTCTGAAGTGTTGAGGTTAAAAAAACAGTATCTGAACAACTGCAGAACAATGGGATGTATGACTAGTTCTGTGACTCACAAAAGCATTACAAATAATAATGTATTTTGATAACAAAAGGTACAACTAACCTTTTCCAAGCTATGGAAAGGACTCGAATGCACATTTGCATTAAGATACTGAGGGTTCTCTGTTTTATTCGATTAAATTGTTTTGAAGGATGAGGGTGACGGTTTAGTCTTTGGGCTAGGATTTATGAACGGGGGGGGGGGGGGTTGTGAGTTTATTTTTTGTCTTGCGAGAGTGTTAAACTGAAGCGTGTATCTGTGGTGTGTGCAGGAACATGAGACGCTTCTTGCAAGGTGGCAGAACAAAAATACAGAGAGCGTCATTGAGCTGCATAACAAAACGCCAGTCTGGAATGATGACACCCAGTCCTATGTTTTAAATTTCCACGGTCGAGTCACACAGGCCTCGGTGAAAAACTTCCAAATTATTCATGATAATGATCGTAAGTATAGCGCTTTGTCTGTTGTGTGTAGAAACAGTACTGCGTACGCAGCCTGACAGCGCTTGTGCCCTGACTGTTGTTACCTGAGTGAGTTTAATTCAGTTATGTGGGTCCAGCTGAATGCTGCTCTGCCTTGTGGCCATGACATCGATGCAAGTTGGGTGTTTGAATGCTCGTGCTTGAGACAGGTGATTCTGCTCTGCGCTGTCTCAGTTTTCTCCCTCGGCTGCCCAGCTTACGAACTGAGCAACAGCTCGGGGTCGTTTCTGCTCTCAGAGCTGCAGTACTTCCAGTCAGCAGGACCGTGGGGCAGAATCACTCTGCTCAAGCACTTGTATCACACAGTCCTTCCTTGGTGGGTTTTTTTTTTTGTTCACCGTGGTCCCCATACTCTGCCCAGCTGGAGACAGCGGCCATCAGACCGGTCCCACTGCACATCCACTTTGCCATCAACAGTCTTTCTAGCATTAGCCCTACAGAACACCCTGAAAATGTCAGAATTGCCTTTCACACCATCACTAGGACCTTACCGATGTGCTGCTCTCTGCCAGCAATGTACAGCCTCCTTTTTTCTCAGGCTTAGGTACGGTTGTTGGAGCAGGGATAGAGACAAGTGCTCAAGTGGAGTGGTGCTGCCCTACTTCACGCTGGCTTTAGGCAGCCATAGTCACGAGGTGCTGGAGCAGTGCCATGCTTAGACTGCCGGGGAATGTTGGAAACTGGTGAAAGTGGCGGTTCCAGTCTCTGAGAGCAGCACTGGGTTTGGAACATTGGCATGTGCGCTTGCTGCATTTTACACGGTGAAACAATTACACCTCCTTCTACAATGAAACATTCAAACTGTGAATGAGGCTGAGATTTCCTCTTGCTGACAGCGTCCAAAAGGGAAAAAATGTCGAGGAAGCATTTCTGAATATGGTATAACAGAGAGACATGGTTAGGTCCTGATCACAATCATGCCTTCTTTTCCCCCATTATCCTTGCTTGTCCACTTGCCTGAAGTTAAGTAGGAATAGTATTAATTGGTTCTTGGTACAGGTGAAACTCTGCATTAGGTCTATATAAAAGACTCGAGCATTTTATAAAGAAGCAATTTTCTCTCTGTGTTTGAAAAAAACACTTTTTATCTGTGTAATATTTTTTTAAGACAGTAACAAGTCTTGCAGTCCTTTAATCACTCAACTATTCCTCACGCAAACTGTCCTTGCTTCTCCCTCTGGTATCAGCACACCCACTTGTATGGATAAGTGTTGCAAAGTTTGATGAGTGAGCATGTTTTGTTTGTGTTTTGTTGAGCTGGGCCAGAGGATGATGTTGAATGCATACTTATTTAGTAATGGCTGCAAACAAAAGTAATGCTTTGTCACTTTTTATGACCTGTCTTGCAGCTGACTACATAGTGATGCAGTTTGGCCGTGTGGCTGAGGACGTGTTCACCATGGACTACAACTACCCAATGTGCGCGCTACAAGCCTTTGCTATTGCCCTTTCAAGTTTTGACAGCAAGCTGGCTTGTGAGTAAAGGGGCACGGGCGAGCAT